AAAACAAGCCCCCCACTCGGGGTTTGCCATCGGGATTGGATTTTCGTCGCTTGGCAACGACGTTGTAAAACAAGCCAATTCACTTCGTGAACTCGGCAACCAGGTTACCGGTTTTTTTTTTTACCTCGGTTTTTTTTTTTGGCGGTAACCATAATGGTGGTCGAGTAGATCATGTTGTGCGGGGTGGAGAAACCTCACTCCGCGCAACGGGGGATGATCGCACCACGTTGTGTTAAAATGGTCAAGCTTCCTCGAGGCAGTTACACAGTGCTTACAACTGTCTCTGGAAGTGAAAGCACCAGAAAATAAATTAAGTCATACGTAGCTGTCATCCGTACGCAAGGAAGTAAGCACAAGATGCCGAACACCCTATGCAGGATGCAGCTCACCCTTCATGCGACTCGCCAAATATCTCACGGCGCTTCGCGCTTGGTGATGTGAGAGCCTGGTCCGGTGAGAACCCGACGTGCTCCGTCCCGGCTTTGTAGGGATGCGAGGTCAATGGTCTAACGACTACGGCATGCACGACTATGAGTACACCCCCCCCCTGGGACCAGGCCGGGTCTAGAATCATAGAAGGGTGGGAAGAGCTGGTAAACACAACAGCAAGCAGAGTTCTAGGTAGAAAGTTGATAGTTTGTAAGAGAGCAGTGAAGTGGTGGGACGAAGAAATCAAGCAAGCAATTCGAGTACGTAGAGAGTCACACGCAAAATATGCGGCAGGGAAAACAGATGCAGGATGGAAGGAGTATGTTGAAAGTAGAAAGAGGGTGAAGGAGTTGGTCGTGAAGAAGAAGAAAGGGTTGTGGGAGGAAGTAGTCCAAAAGACTAACGAAGATTTTGAAGGGGGGATGAAGCAAATGTGGGTAGGAATTCAAGGGATAGTGGGCAACAAAAGAGGGGGAGACACGGAAATAACGACACTAAGATCTGCCGAGGGTAAGATGGTAAGCAGTTCTAAAGGAAAGAGGGAAGTACTAGTAGAGCACTATCGCAAACTTGGGACACCCACCACCAACGACAACTTCGACTCGGAGTTTGAGAAGGAAATCAACTCGTGGGCAGAGGAAAACGTTGAAAGATCTCAGAGGGAACGTAGTGATGTAGACGGGTTGCAGGGAGAGTTCACACGAGAAGAGGTAGAGGACTGCGTAGCGAAACTTAAGAATAGAAAAGCGGCAGGGGCTGATGGAATTGTGAACGAGCTTTTGAAACAGGGGGGGGAGGGGATGATTAACATGTTGATCCGGATATTCAACTGGATATGGAAACACGAGTACGCGCCGAAGAGATGGAGAGAAGGAGTAGTCGTGAACCTGTTCAAAAAGGGGGATAAAGCTGACCCGGGGAATTATAGAGGGATAACCCTGTTGAGCACAGTGGGGAAACTGTTTGGCAAGATGATAGACAATAGAATGGGAGACATGTTGGAGGGGAAACAAAAGATCAGCGAAGGACAAGCTGGATTTAGACCAGATCGTAGTTGTGTAGACCATGTATATACGTTGAGTAAAATCATCCAAGGTAGGAAAGACGCCGGGCGTACGACATACTGTTTCTTCCTCGATATACAAAAAGCCTACGACACCGTATGGCGCAATGGATTGTGGAAAAAGATGTGGGACATCGGCATCCGG